CTTTTTTTAACATGTTGTATTGTCTACTGTTTGTCTCCCCCCCCCCCTTTTTGAATTGTGAGCCGCCCTGAGTCCCCCCAGGGAAAAGGGCGGCATACAAATAAAGGAAACTAAAAACTAAACTAAACTGATTTACTGAGCTGTCCCGTGCATACTTATGCAAAAGACTATCTGAGCTGTAAGAATTGGGATAAGATTGAATAGCTTATGCACTACCTAAAAGCTACATTTTTTTTCCCAAGTAGTGGAAGCAGATGAACGTTATTAAGACAGGTTCTCCTAAGAGTAACAGCTATTTGTTGGTTAAGCTACAAACTCTGCAATTCTGTGCATTTCCCTGCAATTTGCAGGGAATTTTCATTTTTACCACAGATTGGCAAGACCTTAATCTCATGTGCATTTTAACTGCAAAGTGAAACTAGTTTTGCACTTATTTTGAACGGTAAGAAAGCTGGATTATCATGTCTTGACATTCATATCCTAACATTTTTTAACTTCAAATACAGCAAGTTTATAAGAATAACACGATTCTGTTAATGAGCTATACTCTTCAAGTGTATAGAAATATTCTCTATTAAGAACTCTCTGGCCTAGAATAGATAAATTTGGGTGATAAAATAGGTAGAGCCAACAATCCAGTATCAGGAAATTAGGTATTTCTGCTACTGATCACGCCACCAAGAACAACATGCCTTTCCAGCAGAGCCATTTTATGAAAGAATTCAAGTTACAAGTGTGCCCTTTAGTTCGAAATCTAGCTCATCATCAGTCCCTGATACTCCCATTAAAGTCTCAAAAGCTTTCCTGACTAGGATAAGTTGATTTCACTTGTTTTCAAAAAATTGATGTATGTTTTAATGACTACAATCTGCCATCACTGTTATCTGTCCAAACTGTTGGTCCAATTGCTATTCTATACTAAATATTCACCAGAATTTAAATATCTAGATTCAGGCTTTTAACTTTTATTTTCTATAAGGAACAGCCACCTTAGAAAACATTGCATCATGGCATGCAGTTAAACTTTACTTGGAACATTTAGTCTTGGCAGATACATTTTAAAATGCAATTTCTTCCATTACATAATCCTGTAGTTCTGGAATAGTTTGAAGATAAATGAATCATCTAACTTCTTTAAACTTAGCTATTAAAAGCCTCCTATTTTTAAACTAATCAAGGACATTCATTGGCAATACAATTTATTTTTGTTTTGTGTCAACAGAGGAAGCTTTCTAAAAGCACTTATTTGACTCCTGCATCTTGATATAACATCAATGTAAAAAATAGCTGAATTTCATCTATATCATGGAAAAATTGAATATGAACTTGTTTTACATTGCATTATGAACACAAGAATTTCTGCCAGATTTCTCCTTGTGGAAACAGGTATTTCTTTACAGAATCTTCTTTCATTTCAGAGGAATATCCAGCGTCCTGAAATAAAATTTTCATGTTTAAATGTACACAAATAAACATGCCCTACTACTACTACATATTTTAATAGCAATATGAACTCAATGCATTATTGATTAAATTTGATTTGCCAACAATTCTTGAAAGCTATAAAGAAGGGAATATTTAATGTCTATTTGTACTTTTGATTCAAAATCAAGCAGGGGATACTCTGTAAAACTACTGCCCCACATTAAGCTAGGCTAAGAAAGAGAGTTGTTGAAATTCCCACTGTAATCATTGGTGAAATGGAAGGTTTCACCCTCCCACTTGCTTCAAGGTCCTTGAAAGTATTTTAATAACTAATATATAAAGATTATGAGGCAAATATGGATGTACAAAGCTCATTTGAACATCCTTTAGAAAACAGCCTGACACAAATTGGTAGATAGTGCTTTGAACAGTGTGGAATAGCAGAATTGGAATGCTAAGAAATCTTGGAATTGAATCTTGCTGCCTTACCTTTTTATACTGTATTAAAAAATCATGGTGAGACCTCTGAAAATATTTTAAATATTTAATGCAAGCAGTACCTGGGGTGGCATGTAAGATGCATTCATGATTACTACAGGAGACTTGAAGTGTTCATGCAAGTGGTCTACATATTCACACATCCTAAAAAGAAAAAAAAATGAAATATATTTACGATACAAACGAACTTGCATTTATTAATTGCTCTTCCATCTATAAAAGTATACAGGTTGGCCTTAACTTATGACTATAATTGAAACAGATTTTTGGTTGTTAAGTTGTTCCAGTTAAGTTGAGGCATCTCCATGACTGGATCCAATTTTACAACTTTTGTGACAAAAATGGAGTTAAGCGAATCACAGTGGCATTAAGCAAATCAGTCATTAAGTGCAAACCAATTCTTCACCAATCATAATCATACTACCCTGGGACACTGCAATCAGTGGTAAAGGAGAATAAAGCACCTGTTCTGGCCCATTGTCATTTCAAGTGGTTGTTTAAGCTGTAAGTTGTAAATTGAGAACTCCCTGTAAATACCAGTTAGATGAACAATGGAACTTGCCATGGCTGGTATTCAATTCTGTTTCCATTTTAAAGACATTTTCAAAGTTATACAAAGAAAGAGCTTTATTCTGAATCTTCTCTAATCAGAAATTAATTTTTTGTTGCTTGATCACAGCTACACACAAGTACTTGCTTTAAGTGTTTCAAGATGCATTAGGGGATGGGAAGTAGTGGTGGGTTGCTACCAGTGGTGGGTTGCAGGTGGTACGCCCCGGTATGACCGTACCGGAGCCTGCCCGGAGGAACCACTACCTGCCCGCACTCCTTAGCTGTCCTTTAAAGCCTTCGGCGCTTCCACACACGCACATGGCACATACAGTGCCTTCACAATGCTCTGCCGAACAGCTGGAGTGTCATGGAGGCTTGCGGAAGCGTCGCTGGAAGGTAAGACGCATGGGCTCGCGCGTTCATGTGGAGGATACCGGGCCCCGTTGCAACCATACCAGTTGCAACGGGATCTGGAACCCACCACTGGTTGCTACTGGTTTGGATTGATTCTCCCGAACTGGTAGTGCTGCCTTCAAACAGAGCGGACTGATTCTGTTGTGTTTTTTTTAATTGAGCCTGCCTGCCCCTGGGTTATACTTTATTCCAGCTTCTGAAGCCCAGCTGATCTTGAGCGGCAAAGTGAGCTGAAAACGGCTCCACAGCTGTTTTTCTTTTCTTTTTTTCTAATTTTTGTTCAATGGTGCACATGTGTGCAGCACGCAGTCACTGAATCGGTAGTAAACTGGTTAGGAACCCACAACTGACTGGAAGCTAAAACATGAAAAACGGTTGCAGGAACTGGGTATGTCTAGTTTAATGAAACGAAGGACTAGGGGAGACATGATAGCAGTGCTACAATATCTCAGGAGGTGCCACAAAGAAGAGGGAGTCAAACTATTCTTCAAAGCACCTGAGGGTAGAACAAGAAGCAATGAGTGGAAACTAATCAAGGAGAGAAGCAGTTTAGAACTGAGGAGAAATTTCCTGACAGTTAGCAGAATTAATCAGTGGAACAACTTGCCTCCAGAAGTTGTGAAGGCTCCAACACTGGAATTTTTAAAGATGTTGGATGACCATTTGTCTGAAGTGGTGTAGGTTTTCCTGCCTAAGCAGGGGGTTGGACTAGAAGCCCTCCAAGGTCCATTCCAACTCTGGTATTGTATTGTATTGTAGGT